GAGCCAGGTACAGGGTGTTCACCCGGAGCAGGGAAGGCTTTAAAAATCTACTCAATACCTTGACAGCCGCCAAGCACTGGTGAATATGTCTTGCATATTCTGAAAACGTTTCCCGAGTGGCTTTGATGCCTGTGGACAGTGTGGCCTGCAGGATGCAGCAAGTGAGGAAGCCAGAGAGTGAGCTACATGCCTTTTGTGGATGGTCTTGAATGCCAGGCTAAGTGAACTTTATCTTCCAGGCAGTTCAGGATTTTAGCTGCTGAGCTGCCGAGTGAGATTTTCCCATTGGAATGACAGCTTCCCCGGCCACCAAAGGGAAGAGGGTGAGATAAGATTAGGAGTCTACCGTGGTATGCCAGGCGTGAGGGAAAAGGAGAGGCACGGCATGCTCAGAGGGGCAGTTCCGGAGTTAGAATGAGCAGGACTGATCAGGGCAATGGGCAGAGGCGAAGCTTCTTTGTGCTGGGGAGGCAGAGGGCTACCTGATGGTTCTGTTAGCAGAAATGGGCAGGTGAGGGAAAGGAGCACATTTGGAGAGAAGACGACGAAGCCATCACTGAACGCTTGCGTGAAATTCACATGGAAGGGGCCAGTGGCCTAGTGGATCCGAGGCTGGGAGCAAGGGGGTAAGTCAGGGCTGGAGGCACAGATCTGTGAGGACCGCAGGTGACATCTGAAGGTAGGAGTCTCTGGAGATGCTATTCATCAACTTGCCTAGAAACAAACGCATCAAATGAAAATATTTGGAAATTCCAAGGTGTTCTTCCTGTGGGTGTGTGGCTTTGCTTCATGCAACTGAAGGCTGAGGTCGCCTTCCTGGCTGCCTGTGGCCTCTGCCTCCTGCACACCCACTGGTGGTGAAGGTCTTCTTCCTCCCCCCCGCTTCGTCAGCATCCTCACTCTCCGGCCACCCCTGCTGTGTCCCCGCCATGCTCAGATGGCTCTAGGGGCTGAGAACGCCCCCAGGAGTCAGTGAAAGTCTTGTTAGCGTTTTAGACCTTGCAACGGGAGAGGCCGCAGCGTCCAGTGCTCTATTTTATAGACGAGAAAATTGAGACCCAGAGATGGCAGTGCTGGGTCAGGGCCACAAAACCAGCCCGGCGTTACCAGGGCAAGGCCCTCCCAGGCCCGCTGATTGCTGGCCTGGCCCCTTGACACCACAGACTGAGCCCGGAGTCTGCTTTCTTACAGGACTACACACGGGTGGTGTGCCCCGTGATTGACATCATCAGCTTAGACAACTTCAACTACGTCGAGTCCGCCACGGAGCTCCGAGGGGGTGAGTGGGACCGACACCTTCCCCCCAGCGGGGACTCACTGCTCTCCCCCCCGGTCGGCATTGTCTAGGGGGAGAGTGGGGAGACTGGAGCACCCAGCCCTGCGTCCTATAATGTCAGTAGCTCCAGTGTGGTCTTACCACCGAGACTGTGAATGGGATGACCAGGGGGGTGTGCAGGATGCATCCAGACCCCGAGCTCTGGCTCCAGTATGGGCTCACTCTGGGAGTGGAGGGAAGCCAAGGACCTCCTGGCTAGGTGGGGCCTGACCTGTTCTGGCACCTCAGCATTGGGCACCACGTGCTCTCGGAGGCCCACCACGGTTCGGCTTAGGGCCTAGTGCTGATCCCCCAAGACTGACTTGAGGTGATTCAGCCCCATAAAAACCTGCTTGCACCTTCCCAGGGCTCCTGGTAAAGGGCCACACCCATAACTGTCCGTCTTGTCCCCCTGGGGCTCTGTTGAGCCTGACTCTGTCTTCTGCCTTTTATCCCCTAACCGTGCCCAGCAGGGAAGGCTCAGAGAGGCAATAGAAAGAAACTGTGAGAGGGAAATCCAACGGCCTTCGTGCTGATCAGCCTGGGTGAGACCTGCTGTCTCTAGGCCCAGCTTCCTTGGATGTGTGCATGAGCTTCTAGAAAAGGGATGTGTCATGCAAATCAACTGAGTGGGTGCTGTGTTCTAGGGTTTGACTGGAGCCTCCACTTCCAATGGGAGCAACTCTCCCCAGAGCAGAAGGCTCGGCGTCTGGACCCTGCTGAGCCCATTAGGTGAGTCAGGACAGGGGGCAGGGGGCAGGGGTGGGTAGGCAGATCCGTCACCACTGGGTCCCTCTCACTGCCACATGGTATAGGAGGCATTCCACATTAAATGCTCAAAAGATTGGGCAGAGACCAAGAGAACCCTTTGCCAAGCTAGCCCCACTTCGCCCTTTAGGAGTTTCTGTCTTCAGAGAGACTTCTCCTAAGGGGACGGAGGCCTGATAAGACCTATACTGAGAAGTTTCCCGGTGTCGTCCTCCCACACACGTGCCACCGTGTAGTTACACTTCCCATTAAACGTTGGAGGGTCCCAGATGGTCCTGCTTGAGCCTTTGACAGGGAGAAAGAGGGCCCTTTCAGGCCAGAGCAGAACCACTAGGTCTTAGATGTCAGGACTCAGCCCAGGAAGGTCAGGTCAGCATTGCTGTAAGTGGAGGCTGAGCTCGAGGCCTGGCCACTGCTGCTTAATAACAAACATGTCTGCTCCATCCTGTGTGACCACGCGATGGTCGCATCAACTCTGGGCTCTTTTGCAGAGCTGCAGACACTTTTTCCTGGTCTGCATTCTCCCTTCACGTGGGACACTCCCAGCACGTGGTGACAAGATGGCCGCCTGGGGCGCAGGGCTTCTCTGAGGGCTGGGGGTAGACGAGAGCATGGTGTCTGCCCAGTGGGGGGGCCTGTGTTCTCAGCTTGGAGGGCATATGGTCTGGATACTCCTACCTGAGACCGGTGCACCTGTCCCAGACCTGTCTGGGATCTCCACGCTGACACTTGTCGGCCTCAGGTGGGGTATCAGGAGGGTCAGAAGTGCTTGGAGAAGTACAAAAAAGGCCACTGGGGTGCAGTTTCTCTGGCCAGTGACAGGGATACCCCGGATTCCTTGTGGGCATCTCTGTATCTCTGGACCTGCCGTATAGTAAACGTTGGATCATTTGCACTGAATTAACTTAAGTCAGATAGAGAAGCAAGGAGCTAGGAAGAACCGAATGCTGATGCTTCCGACAGATGTGTGTGGTTAGGAGAACGCTGCCGGGGACCAATGCCTCACCCACCTGCCGGCCCCTATCCCCTCGCCAGTCTTCATGAGCTGGAGTGGTGCCAAGAGGGAGATTGGAGCCAGACGCATGCCGGCTAATGCCCTTTACTTCTGAACCGTCTTACCACACCAAGCGCCATGCAGTGCACAGCCGCTTCCGTTACTCCCCTCGGGCGGGCGGCCTCTGATGTGGCAAGGGACCGAGTCAAGGATAAGGCCAGTGGTGCTGGTGCAGCTGACTCTGGGTTTTTAGCTTCTCTGGCCCAGTGGTGGGGTTCTCAGGGCAGGGTCTGTTTTTGTGGGAATAGCCCCCTCATCAGAGAATGAGCGTTTCCCAGGATTAGGTCAGTTCTCAGGGAACGGCCTGGGGTCATGGCATTGGGAGACCTGGTTTCTTGACCTGCTGTCCGTCAACTACCTGACATGGGAGAAAACTCCCTTTGGCCTCCGGACCTGCTGGATGAGGGGCCAGGTCCCTGTGGGCTCGCCCACCTCTCCCTGCTGTCGATCCTTCTGGATACAAGTCTCTATGCTCACTGGATTATCCGATTGGACTCTTCTGTGCTTGCCTGCCTTCCTCTGCAGCCCTTTGCTTTCCAAGTGGCTTTTCTGGCATCCCTCTCAGCAGTCAGAGGCGGGGGAGGTGGGGGTGGGAGCCCAAGGAAGAAGACGAAGTTGAGGGTGTGTTAGTTTGCTGGGGCTGCTGCAGCGACGTGCCACACACAGAGCAGCTTATGGACAGAAATGCGTGGTCTCGCGGGTCTGGAGGCTAAAAGTCCAGAATCAAGGTGTCAGCAGTGTTGTTTCCTTCTGAGGGTGCTGCCGGCCTCTCGCCTTGGCTTTCTTTCTTTTTCCTTTTTTTAAAAGAATTATTTATTTATTTTAGAGAGAGTGCAGGAGTGTGGGGGAGGAGCAGAGGGCAAGAGAGAAGGGAAGCGGGTTCCCTGATGAGCAGGGAGCCTGAAGCAGGACTCGATCTCAGGACCCTGAGATCATAACCTGAGCCGAAACCAAGAGTCGGATGCTTAGCCAACTGAGGCAGCCTGGTGCCCCTCTCCTTGGCTTTCCAATGATCGTCTTCTCTGTGTCTCTTCCCTTTATGGGCTCTCTGTGCATGTCTGTCTCTCTGGCTCAGCGTTTCCTTTTTATAAGGACACTAGTCACATGGGATTGGGGTCCACCCTAATGAGCTCATTTTAACTTGATTACCTCTCTAGAGACGCTCTCCCCAAATAAGGTCACAATCCGAGGTACTGGGGATTAGGACCCCAATATATTATTTTAGGATGATGTAAGCCCTCACAGAGGGGTACAGAGGGAAGTAAAGGGAGAGAGCCCAATCTCAAAGAAACGGAGGTACCATTAATGGGTGCTGCCTCAGTCCTCCTTCTCTGCCTGGTCAGCGGCCCGCTGCCTGGGCTCCCAGCAGTGGAGCCCCAAGAGAGCCACACTGGGCAGGGCCTGTGGGAGAGGCCAGCGGAGGATCCCCAGGCCGTCAGAACAGCGGGCTTCTGAGCGAGTCCTGGGCGCCCACAGAAAGCATGCTGATGAGTAAATTAGCCTGTCTGTGAAGTCTAGAGATTTAAAATCAAAAGGCAAAACCCTGGAGCATGTTCTTGTTTTAGGTAATGCCTTGGCCCTCATAAAGAGGAAAAGCAATGGGGAGAAAAGAGCATGGGGTTCTGCACGGCCAGGACAGATGAATGGGCTGGTGGTCACTCCTCCCTCTCCCATAACTTCCTCTTTCCCTTCCAAATGCACAGGACTCCCATCATAGCTGGGGGGCTCTTCGTGATGGACAAATCCTGGTTCGATTACCTGGGGAAGTATGATACAGACATGGACATCTGGGGTGGAGAGAATTTCGGTGAGTCACTGTCTCTGCGTCCTAGGGCCGCATGTACCCGGGATGAGGGCCTGGGAAGGGGGCAGTAGGTCACTCCTTGGGGGCAAGGGCAGGTGGGGCACGAGAGGAGTAGTTGCTGGGAGGCTGGAGGTAACAGGGCATTTCTCCGTGGGGAAAGCCTCCCCTAGGAAGACCCTCAGGAGCGAGTTGACAGCAAAAGCCAGGAAGGCGAAGGAGCCCCTGTTCTAGTCCCCACCCCGCCCAGGGGCCCGCCGGCTGGGAGCCAGGAAAGGAAATGAACATTGGCTGGGCCCGGATGGGGTTTCGAGTTTGACAGACTCAGCTCCACGGATTTTCACAAAAACCCCTAGAAGCGCCCCCGTGTCACACTTTCACACTCAAGGCAACTATAGGGTCGCTCAGTGTTATGAGCTCCACGGGTGGGTCCTGGACTGCTCTTTCCTAGGGCTGCAGAATGCAACTCGACGCAACTGCGGCCAGACGTGTTTGCAGTTTGGGAACCTGTGACCCCTTCCACCCTCACCCCTTTCTCTCTCACTAAAAGATAAGGGCCAGACACTCCCAGGCTTCCGTAGCAACTACCCCCAGACCCCCATCATTAACCCACTGCTGAGTACTGTGTGCACAGAGCCACCAGCAGATGTTTACCAAATGTTACGGGGGTCGCTGTCAATCGTCTTCATCCCAGGCTCCTTCTACCTCCAAATAAATCCCCAAGTTCGGTGCTCCCAGCTCAAGCCTGCCTCGGGCAGGGTTGCAGCTCTGTTTTGTTCCAGCTGTCTCGGGTGCTTCGAATAGTGCCCCCATGAAGGAGGCTTCCGTAACTACTTGTTGAATGAAGCACCGGAGAAGAGCAAGAGGCCGGCATGTCACCGGGGAGCGTTCAGCATGGGTCCCCGAGCGGTGGTGCGGCCCCGAGAATGGATGATCCGTGGGGCTCATCTGGGCATTCAGCAGTAACTCCATGCATTGTCCTCTGCCATTGTTTTCTCCTGTCTCTGCCTCCAGAGTGTTTTATGGCTTTCTTCCTCAGTCGCTAAGAGTTATTTTCCAGAAATTTATGGCTGCTGGCCTGACCCACAGCATCTGTTCTCCCAAAATGGGCAGTGTAGAGAAATCCATCAGATAAGTAGAACTCTTGCCATTCGGGGGCTGGATTGGAAGCTCAGCAAACAAGCAGAAAACCCCAAGCCCCCAAACCAAACTGATTCTCCTTGCTGGCACCCAGTCCTGGAACAGAATGGGGAAATCTGGTACAGGTTTGAGATCAGCACTGCCTGCACAGGCCCAGGAGCACTTGGGACCTTGTCATTCCCAGTGGAGACAAGATTGCTCTCTTTCTGGGCAGAGCCAGTGGGACATCCTGCGGCTCATGGCGCCTCTCGTGATCCGTAGTGATGTGCTCTGGCCTGTCCTCCCATCATCAAGTGAATCCTTTCTGCAGTCCTTTGGATAGACAGAAGTCATCTCATCTCTGTTCCAATGCCGTTTATGACAATTGCGTTCACTGCTTCACAGTTGGGCTCATTCTGTTGCTGCGAATTTTTGCGTTGAATTGTTAGAAATTTCTTCTAGGTTGAAGCCCATCTCGCTCTAGCCTCTGTCGGGGCTTATGCTACCCCCCCACCCCCTGTCACCCTTACAAAGGGAGTGCGATCCTTCCTCCTTGTGGCAGTCACATTGGGATTCAGGCAGCACGTTATTTTTAATGATGGCACGTTCTGGTCCAACCTACAGTCCTTGCTGTTTATGGCAGTGTTGACACGCATCTGCTCCTACCGAGTGGCAGTCTCAGCTAGTTGCTACCCAGTCGTTGGACACTCACCAGTGCTGATTTGAATGGGGAAGGAGGGAGGGGCTTCTGAGGAGGTGTGGGAGAGGCATTTTACAGTCCATTGCAAAATTTTTTAAACCACAGAAAAGCACTGCAGACAGCTATCCCAGGAGACACTGTTTTCTCCCCTCCCGACATTCCGTTGTTATAGTTGGCTCCCGGCACTTTGAAAGCCGTTTCTGGATTTTTTTTTTTTTTTTTTTTTTTAGCATTTTCTATGCCAGAAGATGCAGTGCTTTCCAATGGTACATAGATCATGTGGGGCAGTCCAGCTCTGCGGGCGAGCATAGGTAGGGACCTGAGGGCATGAAGGTGGAGATTTGGAAGAGCCCGTCAGGATGGGGTGATGATCAGGGGTTTGGTGGGGTTGGGGGGCACTGCTTCACTTTCAGAGGAAAGATGATACTGAGGGAAGGAATTCTTGCTCCAGGGGGTGGCAGGGGGCCCTCCCCATCGCCCAGCTCACCATATCCTGAGAGCCACATCCCCAGCATCGTTCACGTCCACCCCTCTCTCCATCCCCAGGACTACTCTGCTCCCCTCAAAGCCAACCTCCCACTGGGCCAGAGAGCACTGTCCGAAATGCAGGTTCTCTCCCACTTCCCAGACCAGGCAGACACGTGGTTGCTGCTTGTCCTATTCCATAGGGAGTATGGGAAGTTAAGAACACGAGCTTGGCATCTGCAGTTGTATGGCCTTGGGTGACCATGGTGGGCCTGTGGCTAGTCCTTGTTCAGCAGCTGGGGGGCTGGATGCAGCCTGATTGCCCCAGATGGCATGAAGTACAGTGTTGCAGACAAATAAGAGGCTCTCTACTCAAGTCCACGAGTTCATGGAAAAATAATAACAGAGCCCAGGAGGTCCTGAGAACTTAAAGATCATTCAAAGAAAGGGTCTCTGTTGGTGCATTTATATATGTGGACTTAGGGATAACAGTAGCCACCCAAGGGCTCACCGCTGCCCACTCCACTTCCCCTGTCCTGAGTTGGTCGAAGGTACAGTGGTCCTGCTGCTGTGGGTACAATGTGTGTTGGTACACGGTATGTGTGGCTCCATGCAAGCTAGAATCACCGCATTCGGCAGAGCCTGTGTCCCAAGCTTCCTCCATCTTTGTTCAGAAACCAGACTATGCAATGAAATTGGAACCTGGGTGGGTCTGGCTGAGCAATGGTGTATGAATAGCTGTGGTTTGGCTTCTGGGGAGAGAGCATCCCCTTTCCCATCCAGCAGTCGTTGGCTTGGCAGGTAGACACTGGGCTGGTGGAGGGCAGGGGCGGGGGACCCACGGGGCCCTGGTAAGACTACCAGTGGGTTGGTGAGGACACAGGAGGAAAGAAGTGAGGATGGAAGGTGGGGAAGGCAGTTTGCCCTCAAGTAGGAGTCCGATGTCTAAAGAAAATAAGATAGCGGTGCCCCCAGTGAGGGTGGAATAATTACCCGTCTCCCTGCCTGGAATTCAAAGTGGATTAGGGCCTGTGTGACATTCATCCCCCGGGGAGATTGTGCTGGTGCTGACTCAGCGAGAACCCCCTACAGATTCCCTACATCATCTTTTTGCTCCGTCCCCCTCACTTAAGAAAGTGATGACTTGGCAGGAGCCGCAGACGTGGAAAGCAGAGGGTCCAGGCAGTGCCTGGAAGGCCGGCTGCCCCACGCCTCCCTGCGCCGCGCTTCTGTTGCATGAGCCCCCGCTGCACGGCGCCTCTGGATTACGAGACTTTCCCAGGAATCAGCACATCCCCGCCAGGACAGTTATCCTGATGTCAGTGGTGTAGACGAGGGCAGGGTGACTCCGTGCCTGGGTGTTAAATATGCCACACGATACACCTGTGAACCTTCACGCTAACTGCACACTCCCGGCTGCACCTCCAGGCCGCCCAGGTCAGGCCCAGGCCTCCGATCACCCCAGTTACAACACTCAGGACCCTGCTGCCCAGAAGCTGTGACCTCATCTCGGGCTGCAGGAGCCTTGGGGAGGCATCAGCTGTACTAAATGGGTGCAAAGGCGGACGTTTGCCAGGATTGGATGGAGGTGCAGGGTGGTGGCTGGTCATAGAGGAGCCACTCTTGTTGGCCACTAAAAGACCCGAAGTCCGTGTCTTTGCTCCCGGAGCGGCGTTGGCCCAAGGAGGCTGTTGAGCGCTGAGGACAGGACGAGGGCAGAGTTCTGGAGTGGAGAGATGTGCGTCAGCCCCCAGGCACCCGCTGGCAGGGGTCAGGTCAGGACCGCTTCTGCGTCATCAAATAAAGACGTCCTTGACCATGAGCAGGGTTGTTAGGATGACTAATAAGCTACCACCTGAGCGAGGAGGGCCGAACAGAGCGCAGCCCAGGGGTAGAAGAAGAGCTCATTTTCCTCCCATGGCTCACGTTTGCAGAATTGAGATATGTGGTGGTTTTTGGCTAAAGCACCAGATGCGGGGAAATGAAGAGGAGGAGGGCTGGTTTGACAGGCGGGGGAGAGGAGGCAGGCTGCAGCAGGCTGTGGATGGGTGGCCGGGGACAGAAGATGCACCCCCATCTGCTGGTGTCCAGCATTCCTTGGCAGAGCATCACATGGCCCCTGGAAGCTGGTGCTGAAGCTGGGACAGAGCTGGAGCTGGGGGGAATGAAGGGGAGTCCTCAGCTTCAAGTGAACCGTGGGGTCAGCTGAAGAAACAGTGTCAGGGAGACCCTGTAAAGACAGAGCCTCGGGGTGGAAGACTGCCAGGGGACCAGAAGGAAGGTGAAGGACCAGGGTCAGATGACTCCTTTCCAAGCTGGGGACCTGTGGCAGAAGGCGGGACTCGGAGATGCAGAGGGAAGCACAGAGAAAGAAAGAGGTTGCTGGGGTAGGAGGGGGTAGGGGAGGGAACTGGGGCATAGTTTGGAGGGATTCGCTTTGCAAATGAGGAGGGACATATGTCTTATTTGAATACATGGAAAGGAAGAGACCATAGCCAAAACGTATGCGTATTTTGGGAAGAGGGCTGGCACAAAATTTGTAGGTTATATCTAGTAAACCAGATCTCCGTCTCTAGTTTTGAAAGATGAGATGGTTTTCCTTTTTGGGAACTGGAGCAGACCGTATTTTGAGATCCTGGGGGGGAAATGATTGGAGCACAGTAGACTTTTGGAGCACACTGTTAAGGAAGACGTCCTGAGACTAAGGTCACACATGCACTAATAGTCCCACGGGCTGACCCCTGCGGCCAGCCCCTCAGTGCACTCACTGCGAGGCGAAGCGACGGATGCTGGCAGTCAGTTGCGTTCACTCACTGCTCCGTGTCCCCCCCCGCCAAACACCAGGCTGGGACACAGGATCCCAACAGTGTCCCAGCCAAACGTCACACTGCTGTGTATCGGGGGCTTGATGGAATGTCAAAATCGCGAATGTTAGGTCCACAAATTTCAAGTGACTTTGGTGGCTGAAGAAGGAAGCTGGAAGTGGGCACAGGAGGGCAGTGCTAATAGGGTCCGTGTCCCAGAGACTGGCTTCAGGGGTGTCTGATCATAGCTATGGCTCATCTTTCCACCCTACTTAAGTGTTCCCCATATTCTCAGAATTCTGTTTCATTCGACCTGGACGGCTCTCCTGTGGCGTACAGCCTCAGTGAGGTGAAGCAGGTGTCCCCAGGGACACGACTCGGGGGCTGTTGCAGACTCAGGGCTGCAGACCCCAAAGCCAAGCTCCTTCCTCCCTCCGTGTTCTTGCCATTGTTTGGAAGCAGTCTTGAAATGTCCTTTCTTTATCCTAGCACACACATTGTCCCCACCCTGTCCCGGAGCTTCCTGGGAATGAGCCCCCTCGGGGCAGCACCTGGGCACGCAGAAGGGCAGGTGTAGAGAAGGTGGCAGCAGCGGGGTTGGCATCCAGGGAGCCTTGCCTGCCGCTCAAGGACACGGGGCAGGGCGCAGTAGGGGATAGGGAAAGTCTGGCTGAGGACAGCTGAGTGAGAGCTGGTGAGGATCGCGATGAAGACAGTGTCCGGGCACCTGCTTGGAGAGCTGGAAAGGAAGGAGACCGAGAGCCAGAAGTGGAGGGACAGAAAGAGGACCCAGGTGAAGGAACCCAGGGAGGTGGGGCCCGGCGTGCTGGAGGGTGCGGTGCATGTATGTGGTAGGAAGGCACCAGAATACTCACATCGTCCTCCCCTACTCCTGGACCCCAGCCTGCTTCCACATGCCACCCCCCCCATCTCCATAGCAGGAGCAGTTACCCAGAGGCAAGGATTTCCCCTGGGCCAGCCTACCCTCGTATTTGAGCCTGACTACAGAAGCACGAACCAGGCAGGAATTCCCAAATGGGAAGCTTGACATTTCCTACCAGGGGCATACCCAGCGGGGTGCACGGGGTGCAGTCAATAAGGAGGTGCACTGGCCGTCGAGAAGTTAAAAGCCATCACAACACTGCCTAACAGTCATTCAGCAGTCCTAAACATCAGCAGTGACAAGATACTCCCCTCCACCACCTTGGTATGCCGCTGCTTCCTTCTGGGGCAGAAGCACTGCCGCAAGCCGGCTAGGACACCGCCCCAGGAGAGATCTGCACACCCCAGCCTAATCCCGGCTGCCTCTGTGGACTCTTCTCCTCCTGCAGCTACAGCAGCCAACCAGGGGGAGAAGTGGGCATGTGTGCAAAATCCCTGCCCTGGGGAGCGACCCCAGCAACAGCTTAGAGGCTTCCAACATTTTCTGTCCCTGTTCTCAGTTACTGCCCAGATGTCTCCTCCCGAGCTCCAATTCAGGCGCCCTTACAGAGTGGCAGAATTGTGGTCCGGGTGTTGGGAGGTGCTCTGCTGGACGCCTTGCCCAGGTGCTTGCTGGGAATCCTGCCCATGGGTGTTGCTAGCCGGTCAGAGTGTGGACCTCACCTCCTCCATGACAGCCCCTTCTACCTGGGCCTTGACTGTCGGGAAATTCTTTATTCTTGAATGGGAAATTCTTTCTCCTCGGTCCTGACTGTAGCCCTCCGGGGTCACACGAGCACGTCTAATCCATCTGCCATGTGTCCGGAAGCAGCATTCTGGGTTGCCCCAACGTGGTAGCAGGGCCCTGTGCTAGGCTGGTCCCCGAATGTGGCCCCTCATGAATGTGCTCCTCCAAGCCAGCCCCCCGTTTCTTTCCATATGCACTGGCATCACCCTCCCAGCTGTGAGTTATCATCAGCCCCATTTGCAGAAGGGGAAACTGAGGTTCCCCAGCCAGCAGGGCACACAGTCTGACTTCACCCCACCCCCAGCCCCGGGCGGGATGCAGCAAAAGGGGAGAAGGCCCTGAGCACTCCCTTGGACCTGGTGCCCGATGCTGCCATCCTGTGTCCCCGCCCCCCTCCGGAGGGCACAAGCCATGCTGAGGGGGCACGACTCTCCTGCAGAGATCTCCTTCAGAGTGTGGATGTGCGGCGGCAGCCTCGAGATCGTCCCCTGCAGCCGAGTGGGCCATGTCTTCCGCAAGAAACACCCCTATGTTTTCCCAGATGGAAACGCCAACACGTATATAAAGTAAGTTCGAGTCCCAGGGGCTCTGTGGGGGCAACAGAAAGCCGAGTGCTTTCCTGGTGACGGGTTGTGTCTGTCCCTGGTTCTCTGGTAGGTTGCCTGGGTGTTCTGGGTGCTCAGGAGCCACAGCCGTGCTCCCTGGGACGCTGCCTAAGCAGGGGAGGTCGGACTGGCCCGCCCAGCATTAGGAGGAGGCCTGACGCTCTTCACCACTGACGTCCCCGCAGCTTGACAAGGCCCACAAGACACTGGGCGGCACTGTCCTGCAGGGCTCTGGGTGTTTGGGGTGGTTTGGGATGGCGGGAGGAGATGCCGTTTTTGCCTCTGAGTTCTGGAAGATCCAGTGCTCCCACTTTCAGGCCAGGTCACCAGGGGAGAGGTCGTTGGAAGGATCTGTGGATGGGGATGCACAAGTGGCCACAGCTCACAGGCCTGCCCCAGGCCCTGCAGGTGCACAGACAGGGTCCGGGCTGAGGCCAGCCCCACGACCCTGGGCTCCTTCCCTAAGGTGTTGGCACCTCCTGCTGGATGAAGGAGGAAGATCCCGGGGTCTCAGTGAGCCAGGGGTGCCCACTTGCTTATTCCTGCTCCGTCCCTTCATACACCTTCTCCTGTGATTTCTTCTCTTTCAATCTTCTCTTCTGTTTTAGAAACATTTCATGTATATCCCTCTTTCCTCCAGCTTCTCACCTTTTCCCTTATCCCCTTGTTGCTCATCATCTGACAGCTTCATGTATCCATTCATTCTCTTTCTCCCTTTTTTCTTTTCTGTCTGGTCCATTTGCGGGGGGGCGGGGCGGGGAGCTAAGCATTTCTTCATCTGGGACGTCGTTTTCCTCATCAGTGTTCTTCCGTCCTTGGTTTTCAGACATATGAGCAGATATGGGTCACACGAGCATCTCGGGGCTGGCATGACCCTGAGCAGGGGAAAAGTTAACACCTTTTGCAGAAACTGGGTGGGCAAGGCTGGTGCTGGGAGAAACCCAGCAGGCACCAAAGGCAGGGCTGCCTCGACCCTTGGGTTTCCGGGAAGAAAAGGTGAGCAGGGGACACCTGGTGTAGGAAAGCGAGGGGGCAGCAGTCCTGGGCTCCAGAACATTCACTGTCTTTGAGTCTGGGCCCTGGCCAGTGGGTCAGTCGGTGGTTTTAAAAGGCAGCACAGGTGTCTCCTAAGCAGCGTCCAGGTTGCTGATGGTTAGGCCGGGGCAAGGAGCCAGCAAGGTGCTGGTAACTGCCCTCCCTGCACCAAGAACAGGCTGCGCGTAGGGTCCACCAGCTTGGAATCCCTCTGCTTCAGACGGAACCAGAAGTCTGCAGGCGCATGCGCTGTTCGGTGAGGCCCCGGGTTCACCGACGTGGGCCCTGGTGAGGCTTGCTCCCACACCACCCCCTGGCATCTGTTTTCTGATGACCTCTCTCCTGCCCTGGGGCTCTTCCTGGTTTCGCTGCCTCTCTGCCTGCTGAATGGTGGACATACGTCCTCCATGTCAGTCTCTCTCATTTTCTGTGACCTCTGAGGTCAGCGCCAGAGCAAACACCTGATAGAAAAGACTAGCGTGCTGGCAAAATCAAGCTGACAGCCGGCTTGATTACTTGATTCTTGACGCCCGCCCCATGGTCTGGGCCGCTGTGCGTGATCGGCTGTCCTGCCCAGAGCGGGAACCCCAGCACTCGCCCTGCATAAAGGGGGGAGCACCTGGAGTGGGAGTTTGTGGGCAGCGGGAGAGGTGGCCACTGCAGGCCCCGCCTCTCTCGTCTTGGTCCCCACACGTGGGGATGTGGAGGCTCGCCTCTCCCGCCCGCCCCCCCCTTTTTGGAGCCACGTAAGTTCCATTTCGGGCACAGTTTTTCTGGTGTGTACCTGTTGGAGAAAAGTTTGTCCTCACTACTAAAGTTCTGTGTCTTGGAGTAAAAAGGCCCTTTTGGAGATTGGGTGGGACTTGGCTGGGCTCAGCACCCATGGAAGAATGCTGTTACTGGATCATGGGGGCCCCCAGCTGGGTAATGCTGCCTGCGTGTGCATGTTAACCACTCTGGGACACCCCCTGTATCCCCAGGAACACCAAGCGGACAGCTGAGGTGTGGATGGATGAATACAAGCAATACTATTATGCTGCCCGGCCGTTTGCTCTGGAGAGGCCCTTTGGGAAGTAAGTGTCCCTTCCGCCTGCTTTGTGCAGAGGGTCAAGAGGAGCTCCAGCCCCTCACAGCCTGTCCGCTTAGCTGGTCACCCAAGCCGTGGCCACTGTCCCTTATATCCCTTCTTGCTCCTGCCCTGTCCTGGGTGTGCGGGGCTTTCCACAGCTCTTGCAAAATGACGGCCTGGCAACCTGGACCACTGCCCTAGGGGGTGAGCTGTGCCTTGCACCACGGAGCGAATGTTTCTAGCTTTTTACAGAAAGGTGGGGTGCGGGACGCGATGGCCTTAGCACCTCCAGAGCTCCTCCTCCTAGTTCTGAGTCACCCAAGCCCAAACCACCCTCCTTCCTCGGAGGAGCAGTATCCTACGGGTGTCCCCTTCGTAGGGGCACGTAGCTGGTGCTCCAGCTTCGTCGGGGTAGACGAGGACAGGGAAGGAATTCTGTGCCAGGGGCCGTAAAGGCTGTCCTGGAAGTGCTCCCCAAACTCTGAGAAATGGGTTTAATTGCCTCTATTTTACAGGACAGGAGACAGGCTTCTGCAGGTTAAGGTACTTGCCCTTATCACATCACGGTACCAGGGGCATGAGGCTCAAACCACACCTGTCTGATCCCAAAACCATATGTTGCCTTCTCCAACTCAGAGCTGATAAGAGAAAAATGGAAACTGCGTCTGTGTTAGCATCTGATTGTTTTGAGGAGCAACCAGTGGCTTTTTGTCATGCTAATGTCCCTCAGTCAAACTGAGACTGGTGAGCAGATGGGTTTCTGCAGCCTACCCCTCATAGGTGGGGCCCACCCCTGCTCAGGAGGGTTAAATAGACTCAGCCAAAGTGGCCTGCGTCTCTGAAATTATAAACCTGTGCTGTCTCCCCCAGTTCGGTCACTCAGAACCTCACAAGGCTTTTGTCCTGAGTCCTCATCAAACTCCTGGCCCCCTGACCATGGCCATGCACCCCTCTTTCTCCGCCTCCCTCCCTCCCCAGCTTGGGTTCTGCTCTCTTGCTTAGAGAGAGGGCGTAAAAGGCCTCGTCCTCGGATCTTTCACCCTGTTGTGCATCTGTCAGCGCCTCAGGCAAAGTTTTCTCAACCCTGGATGAACCCGACTCTGTGCCTTTCCCTCCCCCGTGCACAGGCTGCTGAAGGTTCTGGAAAGCATCAGCCAGGGCTGCTAACGCACCGTGGCCACCGGCCTCAGGCAGGCCGCTAGTGGGCCTCCCAGTCCTACTGCCTTTCCTGGCCATCATTCTCTGCAGTCCCTGTTTAAACCTCTCCCGTCTCCCCACCTCCCGAGTCCACCCGTCACTCAAGGCAGATGACACCTTCTGTTTTATAGCTGAAATAGATGCCACTGACTTCCCAAGACAAACCAACTTGGCAGCTTCGCTCTCTCTGCCCCGCTCTTCTCCAAAGACAGGTGTGCCCCCTGCTGTGTTAGACCAGCCCTCCACCTGTGCTTGGGATCCACCTTTCATCTGCATTCTTTTGTAAATCAACATTTATCGAGCTCCCTTGGCCTGGATTCATCCTCTCCTGCCTCCTGGCTCAGGGCTTCTTAAACCTTAATGCACATGGATCTCTTGGGGCTCTTGTTAAAATGTGGTTGCTGATTCTGTAGCGTTGCATTTCAGGAGGCTCCCAGGTGGTGCAAGGCTGCGGGTCTGAGGGCCTGTCCGGGCAGAGCAGAGCTCCAGGGTGGTGCTTCCCAAACTAGCCTGCACATTGCCATCCCCCAGGGAGCTTCAGGAGCTACGGATGCCACTCCCAGAGAGCTGATGGGGCCTGGGGTATGGCCTGGGCTGGAGAATTTTTGAAACACAGCCCCCTACCCTCACCGCCAGGATTCTAATGTGCAGCCCGTGTGCGAACCATCGTTCTAGGGGACGCTGCCCTCCACTTCCTCATCCCTGATCTGTCTCTCCTAATGCACGGTCCCCATCAGCATTTAAACCGATTCAGGGTCTTAAAACTTAAATGATTTAAAAAGGAAGAGGAGGAAAGGAAAGAAACTCCAAAAACTTTCCTTCAATCCAACGTCGTTGGTCCCCTGCACCCCTTGCCGCTCCTTCGGGGCGCAGCATCCTGAAACCCTGCCTGCGTGCCTTGTGGGCAGCTCTTGCCCGCCTCTCCTGAGTGCGCTCGGAGACCCGCCCCTGTCCCCGACCGCCCCCTCCTGGCTCACCGCCCCCCCCCACACCGCATTGGGCCCATTACCCATCGTCCTCCCCCAGCCAGCCCGTCGGGCGCCCCTCTGACCACGGAGTCCGTGCCTGCCATCTTCCTTGTGCTGCGTCTCAGGCTCCACCTCCCTGGCCCCATTGCTGCCTCACTTTCTCTTTCCTGCCATGTTTCTGGTCCTCCCCAAGGGTCTGTCCTCACCGGCTCCGTACTGTGCATTTCCCCCTGGCGTCAGCCACCGCTTCCGTGCTGCTGACTCTTGTGTCTCTGTCCCTGACCTGGACCTCTCGTTCTGAGCCACAGTCCCTTCCCTCCCACGACAAACTGGACATCTCCACCTGGACACCTCCCCGGCTGCTCCAACTGCACTCCTAAAGGGAACTCAGCCACTTTGCTTCTAAACGTGCCCCGCAGCCCGTCTCCCACATCCCCGCAAACACTCTTCCTTGTGTCCTGTGGCCCAAGTCACAGGTCTGGGTGTCAGCCTTGTTCTTTCCTCCCCCAACCTTCCCAAGTCAAACAGCTCCCAAGTCCCGGTGCTGCCGCCTCCTTCATGCACGCAGCACCCAGGTCTTTGCTAAACGCTGAACGTTCAGCTTAGAAAAAAAATTGATGTCATTTCTCTGCTCAGGCTGCCCCCTTCCTCTGGGGAGGAAATGTGGTTAGCGCTAACTAAGAAGTCCAGCGCGGTGTGGAAGGAGGTGAGGCTGGCCGAGCAGGGCCACCCGGGAAGGAAGGACAAGGGGCAAATGGAGCCAAGGAGGGTGGTGGCGGTGGCGCTGGAGAGAAATGGAGGGCCTTGGCCTGTGCCTTCTCTCCATTCCGCCCCCCACCCCCTGCCTGAGAGCACCATCAGCACCACAGGGGGCTGTCTGCAGTCCCCTCCCACTGCTCCCTGTCTCCAGCCTTGCCCTGCCAGACCCATTTGCCACCAGTGAGATGCTCTCAAAGTGCAGATGTCGCCACGTCACGCTTTGCTCAGAACCCATCCGTTGCATCCCATTGCCTCAAAGTCCGACCTCCTCCACAGTGGCCCCCAAAACCCTCTGTGGTCTGTTCCTTCCTCTCTGCTCCCGCTCACTTCCCCTCTGCCATCCCCCGCATACATTCGTTCGTGCGTGCGCACGGCTCGGCCTTCCGCAGTGCCGCTCCTGCACCTCCTCCCCTCGCTCTTCCCCGGCCTGTGCCGGGGGGGCCCCGACCCCACCCACTCTCTGGTTTGTCTAGATAGCCTCCACCTTTCCTTCCAGATACCAGCTTCCGCGTGACCACCTTGGAGACCACTGACCTGACTAGCGAGGGCACACACCTCTGAGATGATCCCGCAGCCCCCGCATGCCCTCCCCCACCACGTCCACACAGGGCTGCGATGGCTTGTTTCATTACCTTCCTCTGTTGTTCAGAAGCTCACCATCCATCATTCCCCACATTGGGCACAATGCCTGGCACAGAGTAGGTGCTCAGTAAATATCTGATGAATAAAGACGTGACCAGGCCCCAGAACCAGATGATTCTTTGAGAGTGGGGTAGTCAGGAGTGGTATTTTGACTGCAGAATCCAAAGAGAGATTTGTGGGTAAGTAGACTCAGAGCCCCAGTGGTGAATTATTAGCAACACACTGCGTGTTCATGTAGCCTTGTTTTTAATGAAAACTAAAAACACCCCTAAATTCCATTTTCAAGTAAAAACACAAATCGTCCGTGTCGTTACCACACCACTGTGAGCTGTTGCTCCGTTTTCCATAGCTCTGTCTGGAGCTCTAGAAATCTCCCTTGGTTAATTTCTCCAGCACCCTCGGGAGAGACGTGGGCACAGCGTGTGCTTTTGTCTCTCAGCCTTGTCCCTGTCTCTGACCCTCGGCTGTGCTTTTGTCTTTGTGTCTCCCCCTGCCCCGCGTCCCCCCAGCATCGAGAGCAGGCTGGACCTGAGGAAGAATTTGCAGTGCCAGAGCTTCAAGTGGTACCTGGAGAACGTCTATCCAGAGCTCAGGTACCTGCCCTATCTTCTGAGCCTTTGCTGGCTTGTCAGGAAAGGCCCTCCGCGGACTGGGTCTGGAAAAGGGACATCCTGTGGCCAACTGGATAAAGGTCGTTAAGCATAGGGAGGTCTGAGGGGACCAGGTGGCTCCCCTTATTCCTGAAACCAGAAGAGGAATTAAGTTAATCAGTGGCGTGAGGGATGGCAGTTCTCGGGGAGCAGCGTAGCGCAGCTGCTGGGGCTTGAGTCCCGGGCGCGACCTGAGGCTGATGCTGTCTCCACGCCCAGCTCCGTCTGCCATGGTGGCTCCTGGGTCTCTCCTCGCTGCCTTGTTCCTGGTGGCAGCCCCCCACCGTGGACGGAATGCTCCTGTCATCCTCAAAACCCTGTCTCCACCTCTCCAGCGGCTGGTGTCACTCAGCCAAGGAGCAGCTGGTTCTCATCTCTCTGTGGCTTTCCTCCAGAATCCCCAGCGATTCCTCCATCCAGAAGGGCAGTATCCGACAGAGGCAGAAGTGCCTAGAGTCTCAAAGGCAGAAAAACACAGACACGTACAACCTCAGGCTAAGCCCCTGTGTCAAGAACAAAGGCGAGGATGTAAAATCCCAGGTACGTAACTGACTGGGGATGTGAGAACATGTATGGGCCTCAGCCTCCAACCCCTGCTTTTGTAGGACACCCGGTGTCCAGTTATACCCAGAGCCTAGCTACAGAGCAGGAGAAGTATGATTTCCCCTCACTCTGAGACCGGGGTCACTCCACTGGGTTTCCAAATGGGTCCGGTTTCTCTGAAAGGCAGTTTAGCAGGCGACGTCATGCCTCTAGGAGATCGCTGTTAAATTAGCAGGATTTAATGAGTACGTCCGTGGCGTCCAGCCTGCTTGCAGGTAGTGGGGGCTGGGTCAGGCAGCTCAGGTGCAGCTGCTACCTGGAAAACGTGAAGGGCAGACGGAGAAAGGCGTGCCTCTGGGTGATGCTGCTCCAGGGTGGCAGGCCTGCCCTGAGTCTCCCTGCGGCTCTAACCCGGACTTCCAGGTGGGCACGTCCCATCTGGCAAAACATCACCATTGTCCGCACCCCCGCCCCCACCCTGGCCTGTCCTCAGCAGGCCTGCACTCCACCTCTGCTCTCTCCTGCCTTGCCCAGGTCTGCAGGAAGCCTGGGAATCCGTTCTCACAAAGGTTGCCTCGTGCCTTAGTCCATTCATCAACGTAGCACGCCCACGTTCTGTGGGTCAGTGTTCTTCCCTCTGAGGATGGAACTCTTTTAAAGGTCACTGGCAAATCCGCAGCCTGTCTCTCCCTCTGTCACACTTGTGTGCTGGATACGTTACAGCACATCCAGCTCGTGGCTTCCTCCTGGCTCCCATGGCACTGCCTGATCCGGATTCTCCTGCATTCCTGTTCTTTCTGTCTCTTTTCTTTGCTGGCTCCCCTGCTCCACTTTCGTGTGCTCCTGGTGAGTATTCACAAAGGTTCTTAGGTCATTGTTCTTGTCTCTGGAAACGGTGTCTTGGAGATTTTATCCAAGCTTCCAGCTTTGGCCCCATCCTCTGTTTCACTGATGCACAAATTCTAGTTTTCATCCCTCCCAGAACTCATCCCTTCACTCCATAAACATCTCTCTTCTCTGCTAACTGCAAAGACACTGAGATGAATGGCTAGGTTGCAGGTCTCCGTGGTCCCTCGAGGGATCTAATGCAAGAAGAAGCAAGTAAGCAGCTGTTCTGTTATAATCTCTGTCCTGGATGGTAGCACCGAGGGACGGTATCCGCCATATGCATGAGAGTCAGGGATGTCTTGCTAGAGGACTCGAAAATGAGCTGCATCCTGAGAGAGGAGTAGAAATAGACCATGTGAAGAAGGGGAGAAGGAGCAGCCCAGGAAGTAGAGCACGCGGGAAGGCCTGGGCTGTGGCTGGGTGACCGGTGTGAGCCCACAGCCACCACAGAGTTGTCTGCGGTTCTAGTAGACAGACGGCTACAAGCAGCTGCCAGGCACCACAGCCGCGTATGTCCCTGCCCCACTCCTTCTCTCCGTGTCACTGCCCTCTCCCAGGCTCCACGGCTCCAATGCCACCTGTCTGCCCTGGCTCCGCATTCTCCTGGTCCCCATTTCTGCAAGTCTCTGTGCCTTCTCCCCTCAAATAGCTCTTCTTGGACCCTGCTTTCTCTCCTCCATGCCCGATCAGCCTTCCTCAGCTGTGCACCGTTGATGTTTTACGCTAGATGGTTCTCTGTGGGGGGGGCTGTCCTGTGCTCCGAGGCCTGCCCAGCAGCATCCCCGGCCTCTGCCTGCCAGGAGCACCCCACACATGCCAGTCGTGACAACGGAACTGTCTCCAGGCTATCCCGAACACCCCTGGGGCATAAAACTACCCGGACTGGGAACCACGGTGTTAGGTTAGAGCCACAGCCTCCAGTCCCTGCCCCTCGTCCCCCTGCCGACATGTCACCATCAGACCACCGTTCTCCACCTCAATACAGCCTTCAGTGCTCCCCGCTGCCTGCCACAGAAACCCGCACCCACAGCCTGGGGTTTGAGGCATCGCAACACCCGCCTCCAGCTTGCAGTGAGCTTTCCCAGACCCGTCTCTCTGCTCCAGCAGGACACGGGAAGGGTAGCCTGAGTTACACAGGAAAAGGGAAAGCAAGCAGAAGTGTCGATTTTGCTTTAGGTACAGCAGCCCGGCTGGGAATGACATAGTTTGTTCAAGCAGCATTTTGTAAAATGATGTGAATAGGTGAGGCACATCCCTCTCTTCTGAATTTGTGTGTGGGCGCTGTTCATAGGGGATCCCAATGGCCAGAATGTTGTCACCCCCTTTCCCTGGGACGGGAGCTTGGTCGATCTATCTTCAGCGAAGCAGCGGCTTTTCTGGTACTTAATGTCTTTGGCTGCATAAGGAAGTGGGAGGAGGGGGGCCATAGGATCTCTGGGTCTTGAGGCGGGGCTCCCCAATCTCCAAAAGATTTCCAGGGCTTTATTTGCCTGGAGAATAATAGTACCTTTCCAGCTGACCTTCCAATGGCACGAGAAAGGGGTGGAAAAGCAGTCATCTGTGGGAAACTAAGGGTGATCATAGTAACAGTCTTCAAGTGAGCCAAGAGTTCTTTCTAGAAGCTAGTGCCAAGCTATCACTCCTTCTCGCTTTGGAGAGAACAGTTGGGTTTGTGTAGCAGCAGTGTGAATTTGGGGAAAATGGAGGAAGACCCTGAGATCCATGTTCCGCCTGCTTCCACAGAGGACAGTGAGTGCCCTCAGTGCTCCTGGCCCCAGGCTGCTTGCCGGGGGACAGGGCGGGGCTGGGCTGGATTAGACTCAGCCCCCTTCTAGAGGGGTCCATGGCCAACAGCAGAAAACGTCCAAGTTTTCTGAAGGTGTAAACCCACTTTAGACAGATAGAAGTCTACATAACTATTTCAACTGGAATAATCCCCAAGTGTGCATGTGCGTGTGCGTGTGCGCATGCGCATGTATGTGGGCCATACACCCTTGTAGGACTGACCTATGTTACCTCTCTCGTCCTTTCGGTAACTTTCCCTCCTTCCTGTGTAAGAAAGACAGTTCTGTCCTGCTCGCCAACCCTTTCTGCTAATGCATTAGGGCATCCAGGGGTTCTCTCCTCCAACCCTGCTCTGCTCCTTCGCCTCTCCTACATGTCATTTCTCCTCTTGCGCTGCCTCTTGGCCTGTCCAGATGGGGTCACGTCTGCCCCTCCCGCCCCTTCCCGTGACTCATTCCGCCCTCTCTCCAGCCACCTCCTCTTCTGCCTGGGGGAGGCCGTATCAAGGAAGGGACGCAAGAGCCCTGTTGAGGAGGTATTACTATTATCCTCATTTTACAGATGAAACCAGGGCCTGGAGAGATTATCCAAGGTCCTAGACAGTAGGCCCCTCCTCGACATGGATGGGGACTGGGAAAGAGTGTGAATGGAGGCCCACATTCTGGGCTCCACACCAGACCCGGGGGCACACACAGCACCGGCTTCCAGCCTGGACCTCCTCCCCTTTACTTCCTGCCCTGGCTCTGTTCCCTGCCCCCCCACTCCCAGGCTGCATATCCACCTCAGTTACTCCCCTCTAAACGTTCCCCCTTGGGCCCAGCTATGTGCAGTAGGGACTCAGTCTACCCTTGGGAGGACTGACCCAGGGTAAAATCTACACAGATCCTGAAATCAGGTTCAGGCCATTTGGGTGGAGGATTCCAGGGTTCCTGGAATCTGGAGTAAAAGAAAACCAGCGGGTTCGAACCAAGAGTTCAGATTTGTGCTTCCAGCTGGTCACACACTCTCCAGCAGTGTCATCCCCCAGCACATGGGTGCCCTCATTGTTGAAAGGAGACAATCAGAGCATGGTTGTTCTCTGCCTTGGATGAGGGCTCGTATCTCTGCCCCACCCCCAGCCCATCTATCCTTCCCCCTGCCTGCCTTCTCTTTCTTGGCCAGCTTGTCAACCTTGGGAACAAAATGTTTAATCTTGATGTGTACTGAAGATGTCGGCAGGCTGATGCCTTGGGTGAAGTACAAGAGAAATACATCATCCGTTTGCAAACGTGCAAAGCCCAAGAAGCCTCCAGGTTAATGAGTTTCCTCTTAGCTTTATTGGATTCTCTAGAAAAATACTTGTGTGAAAGATGGAAGGAAGACAGATGCACTAATCGCACTGCTGTCCCAATTTAAAGAAAGGGAGAAAAACAGAAAAACTTTTCAGTGTGTCCATCTACCTGTGTTCCGGGCAGTTTGGGCCACTGGCTTGTGAAGGATGCACATACGCAGCTGGACACTCGGGTGGGCGAGAGAAGGTGAGCGCTCTTCCCCACACCTGCGCTGCCCTTGGCGGGTGGGCCAGGACTCCAGGGCTCGGCAGCAGGTCCCAACAACAAATGTCCTGGGTGTAGGTTTTTAATCACATGCATATGAAGTGTATCCTGACAGCTTGGGGTGAAGTGACAGGAGGGACCGAAAATAAAAGACCCCAACAGTGAGTCCAGCGAAGATCCCAGTCAAAGGTGGGGAGCATGTCTCTGAGCCCACCAGATCACCCTGCTGCCGCCTGGTCACCAGGGAGAGGCAGAAGTCTGTGTCCGTGTGGCCTGCTCTGTCCCCAGCACAGCCAGTCGGTGCCTTTGCATGATCCTTCGGCATCCGTGTGCACTGAGAGGCTGGCTGAACTGAAGTGTGGCTTGTGCCCACTTGTTCGTTCCAGACACTGTGTCTGAAGAGGGCTTCGGGGGTGTGTGTGGCCTTCAGTGTGGCCCTGGATGCTCTCAGCTCAGATCCAGTCTCACCAAAGAGGCCCCGCGTTCATAGTCAACCCTGTGGTCTGCTCCTGGCGTTGCCCAGAGTGACTCCTGATCTCTGTTCCCTTCCATAGAGTTGTACCTGCCTCCAAGGATCACCTTGAGGATGAATAGACTATGACTGTGAAGCTTCAAGAATCAGAAGCCCTTAGAAATGAGCTAGTGTGCCCACCTAACCACAACATAACCTGCAGTGCCGCTCAGCATTTGCAGTCTCTTCCCCATTGTGTGTAGTTCCCCCACGCAGAAGAGTGCGTGGATGGGGAGCTCACCACCATCAGTAACTGACTCGGGCTTCTGTGCTCATGA